TGGAATTAAAAATTCTGCACAAACTTTTTTTTTTTGAAAAAATTGAAATTTTATCTTTTTTTTTGACTTATTTTTAACCTTTACTTTTTCTGTCGCTTTCAGGTCATTCATAAAAGGCGTACAAAAACCTATTTGTTTTGAACTTGCAGTTTATAAAATTTTATTTGAACTTGAAACTAATTTCACCTATAACCAAAAATGTCATAAATCTTGAACGAAGAGTTGGTTGAAGAAGGCGTGGAACATTTTTGTACTTTGACAGGTTGTAAGTTGACAAAGAAATTCACTTTCTCAGCTTCTCTTTGAAATTTTCTGATCAGGAGTCAAACTCTGATACACAGATAGACCTTAAAAAATTCTTTGAAGTAAACTAGAAAAATTGTGCCATTTAATTTTGAATATTTCCGTTGAAATGAGTAAACTGAAAAATAGGTTTTTTGTGACAAGCGATTATGAAGGCATTGATTACTAGCATTTTTACAACACTCGTTTCTCTTCCCTTACTCGACATTTAGATTGACCCTATACACATTATATTACGCAGCCCTTTTTCAGTACTTTTCTCATGATGTCTAAAATTGTCATTAACAGTGGTAAGGAATCATTATCCCCTAAACGATTTCTTTGTACTAAATTGTGATTACATTATTTTTTCTACTAATTCGATGAATTACGTCTAATTTTCTCTTCTTGTTTTACAAAATTATCTTTACACTGAGAACACGCAACGTTTGAAGAATTTTTAGTTTTAAACCAAATATTGGGCAACCCTGAAGAACCGCTGTACTTATCTTTTCAAAGAATGAGATTCTTTTTTGTAGTTTCCCGGTGACTATCTGAAAAGGCTTGCGGCAAGTACTGAGGCAAAAAAGCACATCTAAATGACCAAGTCATCTTGACAAGTTGGTTGACTTCGTGCCATTACTGCACTGCCTAACTAATTTTTTGGACTAGCTAATCATAAAAAAGTATTCGCATTTACAATCCGATACGGCTACAGTCGACTGAATTATTTGTTATGGGAAAACACGTGTAGTTACTAGTGAATATTACGAAAAACATCGGAAATCTGTTTTTAACTTTATTACCAACACTGCTGCATAAGTTTCTTGAGTAAAGTGATGAAACAGAAAGAAAGACTGTTGAATAAAGAACTTAAGTTGGTGGCAAAAGACGTAGGCAAAATTTGTTTTTTTTTTTTTTTGCAGTCTTGTTTTTTAACACCTGATAATACCTGTACTTTCGTAAAAATGATTAACCTTTTTTTAAAAAAATTTGCAACTTTCTTATAGCGGTAATCTTATCACATTGTAACTCATTTCTTTTCTAGATCATTTACCGTTTTCTTTCGTAACAGACGTCACAAATTTATTTAAAAACTTTCTTAATTTGTGGGTTTCACTCAAAGACCAAAAAATCAAAGAACTTTTTGGTTAATGTGGTAGTCTTCAGACAATTATTTTAGGTAACTGCTCTTTTACAGAAAACATTTAAACACTTGTTCTAAACAACTCAGCATCTTCTTGAATCAACAAGATGCGAGATATTTAGCAGGCAAAAAGTCTGAAAGTTTGAAATAGATAAAATAAATTTACATTTTTAAAGATGATCATGTCAGGGAAAAGCTGCAGCATTTTTCGCACTTTATTAACGTCTATCGTTTAACGCTGTTTTTACTATGCCTTTTAAGGTGACTTCTTCTGAATTGTCAAACGAGGCTTCAAGCCTACAAACTGATAAGATTTGGAAGAAGTATATAGTGTAAATAAAAAATGAACCACTTGAGGTAGATAGGTTTTTTGGCTTTTTTTTGATATTGCTTTTTAAAATCCACAGTTAACAAAGGTTAAGAACTGTGAAGTTATATCTGACAAATTTAACATAGCTTATGTTCAATAATCCTCAAACTTTTTTTTTTCAGCTTTTAATTGATTTAGACTAAAATATATTGTCACAAATTAACAGCTTCAAAGTTAATTTGAAGTTAGGAATTCAGTCGAAATACAGCAATTCAGCACATTTTATGCAGCAAAAGCTGTATTGCCACAATCGTAGCTATTCGACATATAAAACTTGTTCATATTACTTGTCTAGGAAATTTTATATTTTAACAATAACTAAAAATCTTATCGTTTAAAAGTTTTTTGCAATTAGATGATTATAAAGTTTTTTGATGTACAGTACTCACAAAGCCCGCTTAAATTCTGTTTCTTATTTTGCGCAATCAATTTTGCATAAAGAACGTATTATTGAAGGTGTAAAGTATAATTTTAAAACATAATCTGAATAATGTTAAGAAGTTAATGACTTTTACTGTTTTGAGGCAACAGTTAATTTGAACATTTTCTAGTTAAGTTTTAAACAATTTATAACTGATATCTCCTATTTTGGCGGCAATTATTTTAGCTGATACCACTGACCTGAAGTGCAGAGGTGCTTTCTGAATTTGTAAGCATTTAAGAAAAAACAAAAATCTTTACAGTTTTTTAACCATTACAAAAGACTGAATTTCATTTAAAACAGCTGCCGCACGTAAACACTAAGGTATAGACAACGCATACTGTTGATAACAAATAGTAATTAATTAGAAGCTTTGTCAGTAATTGGTCAGGCGTCAATTTAGGAAAAAATTTCCTGCTTTCAATGCTTAGTTACAGTTTTTAAAGCGTGAAAAAGTGCTGCTAAGTTTGCTGATTTATGCTGCAAATGACCTTGGAAAGTTGAAGTTTATTTAGAAATTTTGTTTTAAAAGAAGCGTTTAGTGACACGTCTGTTTTGAAAAACACGAGAACACTAAGAAGGAATACGATCTTTTCTTTAGCAGTTCGTTTTTGCTGCAACCGTTGAGTGTGTCTGTCTGAAATTTTTTTTACCCAATGTTAAATGTTAAAAATTAACAAAAAAAAGACAACAAAAAAAAATTCTAAAACGATATTCTTATGTCTCAGCAGTAAAAGAGTAGGAAAAAAATGGATTATTTCTAAAAATGCACTAAACTCTGATTAGTTTTTGACTGTTGTAAATTTTACAGGCAATGATACTGTTAGAATTCAGACGATAGCAAAGAAAGAAATAAATTAAAAGTTAGAAGAAATTACACATAAAGGTTGTTTTTAAAATTAAAATTACAAAAAAAAAGATAAATAAATAATTACAGTAAGAACAGAATTCTGATATATCGCTTTTTTAGTACGTGAATAATAAATATAAGAAATAAAATTCACGTGCTAAAAAAGCGATATATCAGAATTCTGTTCTTACTGTAATTATTTATTTGTCTTTTTTTTTTTTGTAATTTTAATTTTAAAAACAACTTTTATGTGTTATTTCTTCTAGTTGATTTTCAACCACTGATTAACGCTTGTACTCTGATAAGTTTATGTTGTAAAGCTTCTGAAAAAAAGTGGGAAAAAAGTGTTATGAATATAAGTTTATCATCACATTTTGCTTCAAAGTGTTATACACTGTTTTCAACAGGTGTGATATTTTTGCTACAACAAATCAAAGTAAAATTTTATTCTTTTAGTCGTAACACCATATAACGTCGTATAACCATTTACTAAAAAACGCCAAGTTTGAAAACAAGTATCAAGATTGATTCTGTATAGTTTGTGCTGCAACAACAAACAGCAGAATCACTAAATATATCAAACCCTTAACACACAGTAAACAATAAAATAATTCTTTGAAGAAAAAAATTTTCAAAAGCGTCAATAATCAAATGATGAAAGGCGAGGAAATAAGTCTTTATATATTTTGAGATGCAAGCTTTGCTGTAGTCCTGTTACAGGACATACTGCAAAACTATAGAAAAAGTTTTTTAGATGCACTATTGCAGATGCACTATTGCAGCGGTTTCAGAAAATTTTGAAAAACAATTCTTAAAATGGTACTGGAAAAAGAAATTCTAAACTTTTTTCTTAATACGGTACCAAGCATTAAAATGAAACAAAGCAACGAAAAAGTGGTGAGGGAAGAGGTAATCTGAAGTTTGCATGCTGTTAGCCGCCTGACACTAATTCTCTCAGTCACCGATGGCAAATACTTCATAACCGTTGACAAAGTCGCCGTCGCGGTCATCGTTGTTGCCTTTCGCCATTTTTGGGTTTCTTGTCAAACTATACTTGACATCAAAAGTAACGACAAATTCGTCGTCTGTAGCAAGTAAAGCTGACGGTCATAGTTGTGTATCTCATTGACACCGTTCTGCTTTTAAAGGAATGGTAACACCGTCCAAAGTATAAAAAAAACATCATTTCTGTTGCCTGTTGCATCAGAAGTTGTAAAATATAATAATATGACTATTTAATAATATTCAAAACGGCTACTTTTCTGTCTGAATGCTGGTTGTATGTCGCTTATTAAAAATTGTGGACTTTTTCAACTTTTTAAACGGTTTTAGAAACCAGCTGAGGGTGATCAATCAACTGTGGTGTAACTTATACATTTTACCAGCATGTGCTTCTGGCAATAGATAAACCGTGCTAGGCTTTATTTAAACATTAATACTTTGCTGAAAATACTGAGCATTTGTTTCCTAAAAAGGAGAAAAAATTTAGACATTGACAGCCACAAACCTTAACGACTCTCACTGGACATATGCATGACTTGCTATGAAACACATCAGCAGTTTTGAGATCAGATTCAGAAAGTAGCTGATTAGCTTTCAACCTGATTTACAAAAATAAAATTTACTGTTGGGCAAATATACTAAATCATTGATGACACCATCCAGCTATCAGCACGTTTTTGATTCGATGGTTTTTGTTCACCCGTTTCTTATCTCATCCGGTTTAGGCTGTTTCTTTATATGCGGTATTTAAAGAATAACCATAAAATTTCCTACCTTGTTTCAGCTATCTTAATTTTCTTCATTTATCGTGATTATAAGCTAGCACAAACTTTGTCAGGAACCTTTAGATGGTCGTCAAATTATTTTTTGCTTTTGCAATGCCTCCAAGCATTTTTCAACATTCGGCAACAAAGTCTAAGATGTATAGCTAATTCGTCTTCTTTCTCCTAGTTATTCGCATTGGAAATCCTCGGCTTGGTTTTAGTGTAATTTCTGGTAACGCTCTATTTTGTTCCTCCGTGAGCAATGAATGGAACTCATAACGATGCAACAGATGTGCTAGCGCCATTTTTTCCTCGGTTAAAGCAAACTGTTTTCCTGAAAACTCCTTACAAAAAATATACTTCCCAGTTACGTCTCTAGTAAAATTAAACAGCCAAATTCCGTTTAACCAAGAAGCGCAGTCAATTAAAAATATTTTTCAAAAAACTGCTTTCCTTTTTAAAATCTCTCATTTATCAAAATCTTTTTCACCTCTGAACTTTCCAAACCATTTCTAATCTGCTGTGATAAAGAGGAACATTCGTCAAAAATTGTACTTCACAAGCGGTTTCTTAAAATATTTTACTAATAAAAGAGGTCCTACCAAGACAGTTGCGAATTCCTGCTGAAAACGGTATATATGCAAAGGGATCACGTTTGGCAACATTCTCTGGTGAAAAGTTATCCGGGTTATACGCATCTGGATTTTCCCACTCCTGTAAACCCCAAATCTCTGTACCAACAGTTGATCAGGCATGCTCTTACTTGAACTTTTAAAATTAAGAAAAATAGCTAATGTTGTGCAGTAAGGTTCGATACATTTAAACTGCTATTGTCTTTTGCCCATTCCTGATAATTTCACGAAAGTAAACAAATTAAAAACTCACAGAACGCAGAGAAACAAATGTAAAATACTTAGTACTTGAACTGATGAACTTCCAAGATGACAAAAAAGCAATGTAACTGTATCATAAAACTGGCTTAGCCAAAGTTGACGTTATTTCCAAATTTTTTTTTGCTAACTTTTCGGGGTTGAAAAAAGTGAAAACTTGCAGGATACAGTAGCATAAACTCAAAAACATTGATGGAGAAAATATTTCTTGCTACATCATCTAGCACTTAGGTCGAGGAAGAATCCTGTGTTTTCTTTATGTTTAAAAATCATATCTACGCGGCAGAACTAGAAGTTTAGCTGGTTTACTTCATTTGCTTTAAATTGAAGTTAAAAAAGACAACTTTAGTGTCAGAAAACAGTGATGACTTTAGCTTTTAAACCTTCTCAAAGCTCGCATTGATAAAAGATTAGAAGATATAGCTTCTATTTGGTTTTCTCACAGACAAATGAACCATTTTTTCCAAGAAAATTCTAACTTTTTCTCGTGTAGAAGTTGTTTGGCAGAAATGAATATGAACGTTGAGGCATATGTTCTACTTTTCACCGTTCTTAAAGGGTGAAAGGTGATAAAAAAATGCAGAATTTTTAGAATCACTATAGCTTAGCTGTCACCAAACTTCCTTACCTGCGTTTGCTGTGACTCGCAACAACGAAAGGTCTAGTTCGAAAAATTACTTTTTTTTTGATTTTTTTTTTGATAAGATTAGACCTGAAAATTTAATTAAGATTTTTTTGAAGGATTAACGGTGGCAGAAGCTTGAACTTCGAGAACTAAAAGATGAAAGACTAAAGAAGAATATACTCAAATTTGAGACTTCAAGCTTAAAGGTCTTTGTGAAGTCTGTCTTAAGAGCTCACTTCTTTTGAGGGGAAGCATCAGCTTACTGAGTAGAATATGCACCAGACAAGCAAAAACAAACTTCTAACTGTAATTTTCTTAACTAACATTGTATAAAAGAAAACTGCAAGAGTTCAGTAACAACTAATTCTAATTAATTTTTTTATTTTGTTTTAATCCCCTTTTTCTCAATAGTAGTGTCACCATGTGATCTTTGCACAATCTTTACCTAGAAATTCGCCATAGGTAAATAGAACCTAACAAATGATAAAAAATTTTCATCTGAAAAGTATTACCTTCGGGTCCCTCGCTACACTAAACGGTGAAATGCACGCCGTTACACCAGCGGGTATTGTGTATTCTCCTAAAAAGATGAAACTAGTAGGCATGAATCACTCTTGAGATTGACTAAATGAGCATTTTTTGTTGTTTTTTCTCCGGAAAGACAGTGGTTACGCAACAGCTCAAGAGCGTCGCGAAACGCACTGTTCTGTTCTTGACCTTTATTTTTTAATACAATAATCAGCAGTACTACAGGTAGTAACAAAAAATTAAAAAACTGGTCGTCGGAATTCAAAGTTGTAATCTAAATCACTAACCGATCTTGACGTCTTCAGTAACGCGCCTTGCAATAATCACAACCGGCATGTAAAGTCTCATCATCTCCTTCATACATCGATCTAAATAGACTAGGTTTGCGAGGTCATCTGAGGTGATTTCCCTTTCTTCATCGCCTAGAAAAGAAAAACTGTTGTCATAGATCTGTTAGTGTAATTTGCATTTTCAACTTATATCGCTTTATTTTGAGAGCCTTTTATCATCAGTGTTATGTATCACGTGCGGGTGGTGGTCAAGGGGGTTTATTTAAAAGAAAAGACAGACGATAAATGTAGAACAACAGCTGAATAGAACTCGATACTTTAAGCAATGGGGGAGCTCTTATATAGAGACTCCTAACAGACATGGATCAAAATATGCTGACCGGCAGTTAAAACTTCCATGTGCACTAAGGCAAGTATAATGATCTATACCAAAAGAATGTATTAAGGCAAACATAACAATCAGGTGTATCAAACAATTTGTTTTAATTAAACGGCATGCAGGCTTACCGAGTACGCTATGCAGCTCCTCATAAATTTTGTTCTGAACTTCTGGTTTATTTCCCAGAATACTCAGAGCAAATCCAATACTGCTTGACACGTTATCATGAGCTAAAACAACAAGTTTTTTTATTTTTCCAAAGCTTAAATCATGCTGAAGCAGTTGTAAAGTGTTATAATCATTTCATTAAAACTTCTTTCAAATTTTGATAAGAGCAAGATTTTGACTTGGCCGTCAAGTTAATCGGGAGATTTCAGTGGTTTATTGTCGACTACGAACTTTTAGTCAGAGGTCAAATATTTAGTTTTTTTTTTAAAGTGTAGTTTATTAATTTTTATTTTTTTATTAATAGTACAAAATAGAGATAGTAAAGAGTGGTGGTATAAATTGCGTTACTAAGCAAAACTACCAGCGACAAAAATAGTTTCAACTTCTTCACAGATGTCGTCAACAGTCAAATTGTATTCCTCTTGTAAACTCAGCAGCAAATCCAAAAACGACTTTCTACTTCTTTTGCCAGACGAAACTTCTTCAAATGTGGGTTTTTCTTTCATACTGTCGTATTCTTTTTTTCGTTCTATCACAACCTAAAAGCGTTTCGTTTATTTGACTCGTGATTAGGACTTACTGCAGTAAAAAAAACTAGCTACCTTTCTTGGCAACTGTCTTGTGATTGCTGAATACTTCTCCAGTCTTTGAGTGTGTCCAAGCAAATTCGCAATTGGCTTGATTCTTAACCATGGATAGCGTAAAGTTTTGAAAACTAACTCAAATGTTCGTGTTACTCCTTCATAGTACTCCAAGTTTTCACCTTTCTGAGCATTAATTTGAACTCCTAACGTTGTATCTACAATTAAAACGATGAACACGATGTAAACTTTGTAAATATCTATAAAACAATCTATTTTCGATGAATATAATCTGTTGGTGAAGCCATCGTTCTTGACTTATCTCGTGCTTTAGTTGGCATATGCAGGTTTTGCAAAAAATTTATAAAAATATACGAGCCGAGAGAATAAAAGTAAAGCAAAGACTGAGAAAAAAAAAGTAATTTTATTAATTTTTCCACAATAAAAACTCTGACGGTACTTTTTTTATTTGCCAAATTGTTATCAGCAGTTAGACTTTAAAATACAGTTCTTAGGAAAAGCAATTTTTAATCTTTTTCTGCTTACCGACCCTAATACCAAAAAAAACTGTTTTTTGTTTAAAACTTAAGCACAGTAAAGGCTCTTTACTTGCATACTTTCATATACCAATAAAGTTCAATAAATCTTGAGGACGTTTCTGTTGCCTGGCTTTTTTTTGTTTATATTACAACACTCAGTCTGCTTTGTAAATTTAAGATCTTGATAACAGAGATTTTTATTTTTAAACTTACTGAGAATAAAATATTAAGATATACGAAACAGAATGCAACTCGGTAGAACTTCTAACATCAGTAGCTTGACAAACAAAAAAAAATGAAATTAACTTGTAAAAGCCAAGAAATATCATAAACGAAAATAAAAGATTGAAAAGAGAAACATGACAAAATTACAATATTTGCCAAAAAATGTTTGAAACTTTTAGGATTATTATTTACGTAGACTTTTCTCTTGGCACACTTAAAAAAACTCATTTTCTTTTACCTTCATTATTTTATACCTTTTTAGTGCTAAAGTTTGCTCTTGAAAATTACATTTTCGGTGTTTGGTGTTACGTTTAGTTTTCAAAGACTTATGAAAGGTAGATCAAATTTTAGAGGTTGAGAGAATTTGGAGAATTTGTTGTCTTTTCCCACTGCTAAATTTTAACCACTGAAAATTGTAAACGTAATTACGTGTAAAAATTTCACCCTTTGTTTTTCACTTGCTTTTTAGTTTCCTTTCTTATTATTTTTTGCTAAATACTTAACAGCAAAAGAAAGTAAATGCAAGTACTATGACTTTTAAAAACATCTTTTTAAGTGATAACAAAAAGAATAGCAGTCTTAATCACTAATATTCGTCAAAGTCTGATTCGAAATGATATTTATTAAAGATTATTAATTTCAAAAGCTTTCGCTTACTCTTATTCTGTACATCACGCTATAACTCAGGATATTCAGTTTTAGTTCCAACTTAATACAAAACTTTGTTGGAATCAATAAAGCATTAAAAAAATTCTGTTTAACAAATACTTTGAAATAAAGTATAAAAATTTACCTGCCATAATGTCCAGAGAATAGCGCCTTAAATATGGAAGCAGATCAAAAGTTTCACCTTTGTCCGCATATTCGTCTAGTAATCCCATTAAAACCTTAACCATACAGTTTAATGACATTTTATTGAGTTTTTTTTAAAAGAAAAAATCTTTATCAATGAATCATTACATCAAACACCTTACTTTTGCGTGTTTATTAAAACTTTTGTTATAATTTTGAATAACGGTTGGATGGAAAGCAGGAGTAAGCATCTTTCTTCTAGTATGCCATTTTTGACCAGAACTGAAATACATTTAAAATGCTCTTATAATTTAAGAACGTCTTTTCGTAGCTCTTTTTCAATTTTACGCAACGTTTTTTGCAGAAAAGTATGACTATAAAAATACGGTTTACTGAATATAATCACAAGAAAATGTTCTCTAACCTTCATATAACTCACCTCGTTATCAACCCGTCTCCCCACATACCCTTGAGAAATTCATATTCATTTGGCTTTTCGTTCAAATTTGGATTTTCTAGTATAGCCTAAAATTTTGATCGTTTAGTATTGTTGCTTAGGTTTTTTTAAAATCTTCAAGTTTTGAAAAGTTTTCAAACTTGTCTAGATAAAACAGCAAAAAACTAATGACTTTACAGAGAACGTTTTTAAGTAGAAAAAATAACACAAAAAGACTAACTTTAACACTTAGTGGTCGAGTAAGGAAAACAAGAGGAAAAGGTCCAATCCAAAATCGTACCAGACCGCATTCAGTTTTATAGGCATATTTACGGAAATAATATTCCATTTGGTACGTAAACTCTAGACATTTAACACTGAATAAGCACATAAAAGAATACTTTATTCAGCTTTTGCTCTCAACTCATCTTTCTGGAAAAATTAATTTTAAAAATTTATAATAATTAACTTACCAACTTCATTGCCGCTCAAACTCAGGCAGTTACCAAAAATCGGAAGCGACTTTGGTCCAGGCATCTTGCTTACGTGGTCATAAATATGTTTCATAAATCGATAGGTTTCCATAAGCTGGCGCCTTTTCAGTATCAAGCATAGAATAAAAATCGTAGAAATTAAAAAAAGTGCTATCATTGTTAAATTTTTTGATAACCTGTAAAGAAAAATTTCACAGTCTCTTTTTAAAAGCATTAATTATTACAAAAATTTGAAGCGAAATTGAGGCAGCTTTTTTTGAAATTCTGAAGTAAACGTAAAATATCATAACTATTAGTACTAAGCGTAAAATATTGTAAACTGTTACATAACAGATTCTATCACTTTTAAAAACTATGTCAAGTTTAGTCTAATAAATATTTAAAAATTTTTAGAGTTTTTTTTTGTTGATCAATAGTTCAGTTTAAAGCACAGGTTGACAAGCGTATTATTTTTTTATAAATTTATCAGCTCAACAAAAAATTTGTAGTTTAATTAAAGCATCAACAAAAAATTCTTAGTTAAAATTGTAGCTGCTTTATTAGAAAACTTGCTAAACTTGAGTGTTTATAAGTTTATACGTTATATCTGTATGAAATGCATCGCTCTGAAAATGGTTCTTTGAGTTGCCAAATTTAATACAGAGCAAAATATAAAAGAAAAAAAATTGACAAGTAATATTACCAATTTACAAAAGACCTTGAGGTTTTTTTATTGATCAATAATTCACTTTAAAGCACAGTTTGACAAGTATACTGTTTAAATAAAGTTAAAAGTTTAACAAAAAAACTTGAAGTTTACTCACTCTCTTCTTGGTCTGACTAAAATACTGATGTTTCAAAAAAAAAAATTAATTGGATTACGTACTTTTGTATAAAACATGAGGCATTTTTTCTACTGTTAAAACATATTTGGGTATTCTTGGCTATTTTATACGATTAATTGCTTTTGCAGAACAATCTTTGCTCAGAGGTTTTTATGTTTCAAATACTAAGTATAATTCCAAAACGAAAATTGAGTAGTACTTTAAAACCAATATTTTCTCCTCTTCTGGGGCAACATTTTAACTTGACAGCTTAACAGCTTCTAAAAAATTCATAACTGAAATACAATTTTTAACAATAATTAGCAATCGTTCTTATTCACCAGCAATCAGCTTTTTGCTGTTTAATAAGGTTTAGACAAGTTTTATCTGATATAAAAAAAATAGCTTAAATTTCAGATAAAAAATTTTGAAAAAATTTATCATTTATGCTTATTCTAAGGTACAACAACTGTACTGTCAAAAATTGGTTGTTAACAGTTTTAGCAATTATGTAAGCGACACTACAAGTTTTAGCTTTCTTCAAATTATCACCGGAAAAAAGCAACCAAAAATTTTACTATAACATAAAGTTTTTTGTTAGGCTTTACAATCAATCAATCAAAAAAAAAAAAAAAAAAAAAAAAAAAAAAAAAA